GCCATTAACCTTCAAAAAGCGTCAATTTTTAGCAGCAACATCTGACGCAGCCCAAGACGGACAATGACTCAAGGCAGCAATTGACTCCCATTGATAAGAGTTCGTGTTGTGTGGTATCATCACCTATGGCAACCTAGTGGTCTTTGTTTATTCACAGAAGGCTATTGCTTTGCTCGCAAATATAATACTGTGTTCAGGCGTGGGCCCCATACTATTGGAAAGAGATCTTATGCTTGGAGAAAGTGTGATGTCTTTGTACTCGATTGGTAACCGAATAATAGGGGAAACGTTTCGAACAGAAATTAAGGAATCTCATTATATATTCGATGGAACGTGGACCAAAGAGGGGTAACTAATAGAGACTTTCAAAGTAATACTAGNCGCAAAGCATTAAGGATTCAATTTTTAAGCTCCAGCACAATTATCCCAGTTTGGTCCAACTTCACATACAGAGTCATATCTATGTGAATCAGGTTACCCACAGAAGCGATCAACTGCGTCAATGTTCGCAATGTCAAGGTCGCAATGGACGCATTGTTGATCGGAAACTTTCCCCGAGGTTAGCTGGTATAAGGCATATCTTCATGGAGAACCAGGCATCTTGCAAGGTAAAAATATGAAAGCGGACTTTTCAAACGATTTTCATTATAAATAGCAACCAGCATGGTATTCATCTTGAAACCGCAACGCTGGCATAACTTAAGATCTCTCGCCGATGAGGCAAAATACGTCCTTTTGTTTTATCTTATTCAGGTCCATTGAAGAAGTCATGAGAAACAAGTATTTTTAAGCATTTTTGAGAACCAAGAACCCGCTGATAGCACAATAATTCAAACACTCGATTTTTAAGGACAGCTCAGAGTCCACAGCCCATTGGGGGCTGGTGTCCAGTTCATCGGATCACACACATTGCGGACGGGATCCAAAGTTCGCGGTGCCCAAGACACTTCAATGTTCAATAAAGTTGGAGGTTGTAGGCGTGGTTGGTACACCTCTACTTGTTCAGCTTTTAATCAGGGATTTTAGCCACTTCCCTTGGGTTAACTGTCAGGGGTTCACCAACCCCGTTATACTCACGGATGTGGGTATAACGTTTGTGGAAAAACACCTCCATCATGGGAAGATAGTAATCAGGGCCTACTCACTACAGGCTGAGTAGCTTGGTCCTGTAGGAATGATGTAGTAAAATCCTTTAATCCCTTAGCGTCGACACAAACTTTGGTCCAGTCACTGTATGTGAATCAGATGAAAAAGTATGGGAATACTTCGAGGTCAACGACTTTGAAATGTTGCGTTTTCTACGAATGTTGATGTTGCATAGCTTGTTTCAGAAATGAGGTGCGTCAGTCGCACGCTGCACTACAGGTTGATTGGATAAGGTCTAAATGATGTGCCCGTATGGTCAAACCGTTTGACCCATCTCTCATGGTTTCAGCATCTT